AAGAGCATGTCAATAAAGTGCCCAGGCCGTCAAAACTAACTTTCTCTTCAAGATCTCCAACTTGAAGGTTGTCACGCTTGCTCTCTGCCAGTGCATATTTGTACTGAGCCTCTTCAAGCATTTGCTAAGAGAGAGAGAGAGAGAAAGAGAGAGAGAGAGAGAGAGAGAGAGAGAGAGAGAGAGAGAGAAGTTAATTTCTTTTCTCCTTTGTGTGTGGGTGTGTAATATAAAGAAGAGATAGCACTGGATTGCAATACCAATATATTCCCCCTCTTCATTATCAAATTAACTTAAGGCCATAGTGACAAACTACAGGATATTGATCAATTGTTATTATTATTACAAACTTCAACACATTACTTGTATGTATTATGTACACTATATTAGTAAGCAACATTGATGCACAATTTGTGTGTGTGTGTGTGTGTGTGTGTCTATTACCTTAAGCCTATCTATCTGTGCATCTTTATTCTCCATTTGGGTCATATAGTACGATACATCCTATTTAGTAAAGAGAGAGAGAGTGAGGGGGTAAGAGGGAGAAAGGGAAATACACATCAAATTAGCAGCTGCTACTATACAGTGAACTCCAAAGCTGTCTCATCTCCAGGCATGCGTACAATTAGTACTATTAGTACTATTAGTAGTCATCATATTTACTTTAATTTCTGATGAGTTACCGCTGTTACGTCTAGCATTATCTAGCTGGTCCTTGAGAGCCATCTTATCCTGCAATAGAGTCTGAGTGTACAGATTACTGTCATCAAGTCTACTCTGAAGTCCCTCTATAATGGGTAAAGAAAGGAAGCAATAATCATAAAAGAAGCAGTAGTATTATAGATGAAAATAGAAGAGGATTAGTATTAGAAAAGGATGCGCAATGGTCATATACTGTACCTAGCTCTGCTTGCTTCTCAATCAATTTCTGACAGCTCTCATCAGCTTGAGTCAAAGCCTCTCTCTTCTCATTTCTCTCTCTTTCCACCTGCCCCTGGAGCTCGTCTATCATCTTGCGAAGGTTCCTTTCCTTCACTTCGTGTTCTTTGCTCAGTGACGAGATCCCAGAGTCGGCCTGGAACAAAAGGAGATGTGAAAATCATTTTTTTAAATTGAAAATCATGAATTAAAAATTGATGTACAGGTAGCACAAGACTGATATGTCATAGATGTAAGTCTATAAGATCTTCTTACCCGATTTTGTCCGACTCCAAAGTCAGTCTCGTCAGATCCTTTCTTGGAATCTTGTAACTCTTTTTGGAGCTGATTAACGGAATCACTCAAAAGACTGCAAAACCTATCCTTGACCTGAGAGAGAGAGAGAGAGAGAGAGAGAGAGAGAGAGAGAGATGGAAAGTAAATTGTTTGCATGTGAATGTATAACATTTTATTATCATACTGTGTGTGTGTGTGTGTAAACTGTGTAAGTCAATGTTTTAAGTCATTGGAGGAAATAGAAATGATATCAAAGTACAACTAATCCCCACGGAATGCAGAAGTCATGTACACCAAACACAAAGTTTACACAATTAATAGATACAATCCACTATGGCAGCAGCAAAGATAAGGTCTTCCCCTTTCAACACTATCCACTACAACATTTATTTACACCAAGTCAGTCATGCACAGACAGCTATTAGTGATTCTGTAATACACATACTTTTAAAAAGTCCCCCACTGTAGTGTGTGTACATGTACCGGTATGGTATGTTATTACAACTGTTTCTCTCCATCTTACCTGCATAGACTGCTCCATTTTTAAGAGCTGGCGTCTCAGGGCTCCTACATCTCCTCCTTCTTGTGATGCTGTGATGGAGTCCAGCTGGCCTCTAAGGAGCTCTATCTTCTCATTCTTTTGATCTATGACCTCCTCCAACTGATTCACTTTCTAAAGGAAATAACAAAGTAAAATAGAGAGCCACAAAGTGTACATGATGTATATCTGTACATGTACATGTACATGTACATCTACGTATGTACATTCACATTTTAAAATTAGAATAAGTTTAGTCTCTTTATAAAAGTGCTAAATAAGGAGATGCTACTGCGTGTATATGAATAACACGAGCATTGATTACAACTTCCTAAATGATAACAAGGACTGAAAGCAATGCCACAGCATGCATAAAAAGCAAAACAATCCACAATACACTCATTCACATACACATACATGTACATGTACACGTATGTGTACATGTACATGTATGTGTACATAGACATGCTGA